TTTGGTACCCCCTCGCAACCCCCCCTCCAGGGATCCCAACCCCCAAGTTGAGAAGCGCTACTCTAAAACAAAGAGTGACGGAATCAGTGCATGTGTGCATTCCTCCTCTTTTTAGTTGTTCAAAGAACTTCCTCTCTTGCATTTCTGACTGTCATCCCTATAGCAATTCTGTAGACTATTCCAACATCTACATATAAAGGGACTTATATATGTTGATGGTGATTAAAGAGTTATTAATTTGGCCCTCTGTTCCACTCGAAACCTTCCTGTTACTCAGCAGCTGCGAGGGGCTGTTGCTTCAACTCTGGTTTATCAGAGAAAAGGTCACGGGAGTCAGTTCGGACCACGGAGACCTGATAACTGGGTTCCTGAAGGAAAGAAACAGTGTGTGCGCTCCATTTGATAGCAAACCCACATTTCTTTCCCCCATTCAGCTGAGACCAGATGCTTCTCCATGATCACCTCCCACTTCCAGAATATTTATTTTAAAAAACTAATCCAATAAGGATAATTAATATTATTGCATTTTGAGCCCGCAAACAAAAGAGAGAACAAAGGTTGAAGCTGTTTGGTGAAATATATTGACAAATTAATTTTGGGAACATTGTGGAAAAAAGCATTCAATCACTCCTCATGACGGCTTCAAATGGAAAACAGGTTACCAGCATTCCCGAGAACCATTAATAGCCATGGATGGGCAGGGGTATCTGGATGGCATCCAGTTGCAATTCCACAACTAAGAAAACAGACATCTTGACCTCTGGGTACATACTTGCTGAGGAGCTGGGATATGGCATCTCCTCTCTTGAACTACAGCAGGACACCTCTCGGCAACTCCCACTCTCTTTAAGACACCCAATAGCCATTGTGATACACTTTGGGAGTGTAGGCATTATAGCTATCCATGCCACACATGACTGGCCCCAACATCTTTCTCAACGCCCCCCCCCTCCCAAAAGATCTAAAACACCCAAGATTCCTGATCGTTGCAAGCACTTAGTCAGATGTCAATCTAGCGAAACTCTATATCCAGCTATTTATTATTCCATGTCTAAAATTCAAATGTGAGTATCATTGCTCACATAGATGAAATTACTGGGGCAGGAGAGTGGGGGAGAATATTGCCAGATTTGGGGAACCTTTGACGTTTACATTTTTTTTCAAATGATCACCTCCCACTTCCAGAATATTTTTTAAACTAATCCAACAAGGATAATTAATATTATTGCATTTTGAGCTCACAAAGAAAACAGAGAACAAAGGTTTGAATCTGGTTGGTGAAATATATTGACAGATTAATTTTGTAATTTTGGGAACATTGTGGAAGAAAGCATTCAGTCTCTCCTCATGCAGTGCTTCCAATGGAAAACAGGTCACTGTTACAATGGAAAACAGACATTATCACACAAGGTTGTTACCAGCCACATGACTATTTGAACTGGGGAGACAAGAGAATGATTTTTTTAAAAAAACAGACAGAAGGGGAATGCCATTGAATATTGTTGACTCTCTGGAACTGGGAAGAGAAATACTTGATGCTGCAACTGTGGTTGAGAGTCTCGCTTGTTAAAATTATATGCTAATTGTTGGGTGTTTATATGTTCATGTTTCATTCATACACATGGATAAGAAGTTAGGCCAAGTGAGATGGAGTAACAGATGGAACCGGTCTACGTGCTTGGATCATGTGATTTGAATGTTTTTATTAGGTGTTTTAGTTCTTCTATTTCATGTTTTCAATGTCCTTTTATCTTATCTTATGATGAATTGTCTTATTGATTTTATGCTTAGTTATATGATATTGATTTGTGATTTGGTTTATGTATGTAAGGCATTGAATTTTGCCATTATTTCTGTGTAAACCGCTTTGAGTCCCCCCAGGGGAGAGAAAACCAGTATATAAATACTGTAAATAAATAATGGACTGTCCAAAAACAGGAGTTGGACATAACAAAATAAATGCAAAGCATTAACTCCTCATTTATTTATTTATTATTTGCCCTATTTATACCCCACCTTTCTCTACCCCGAGGGGCACTCAAGGCGGCTTACATATGGCAATTATTCAGTGCCTTAAACACATACAATATTAAGCTTAAAATCCATTAAATTAAAATTAATATGTATTAAAAATTTAAAATTACATTAAATATGCCATCCAAAAATCATAGTCTGAGGCCATCCCGTAGTCATTGCACATATTCTAATTATACTGTATTATTGCATGGGTTCTCCGAAGGCCTGGTTCCAGAGCCAGATTTTTACTCTCCTTCTGAAAGTCAGGAGGGAGGGGGCTGATCTAATGTTGCTAGGGAGGGAGTTCCACAGCCGAGGGGCCACCACTGAGAAGACCCTGTCTCTCGTCCCCACCAGCTACGCTTGCAAAGAAGGTGGGACCAAGAGCAGGGCCTCCCCAGAAGATCTTAATCTCCGAGGTGGTTCATTGGGGGAGATATTTTTGGACAGCTAAATTGGGATGGCACATTTAGGCCTTTGTAGTCTAAAGCCAGCACTTTTAACTGTGCTCGGTAGCAGACTGGCAGCCAGTGGAGATAACGTAACAGGGAGCATACAACCCTTATGCTCTCTGTATGCCACTCGGATAAGCAACATTAAACCTATTGGAGCTTCTGAACAGTCTTCAAAGCTGGGTTGTTGTAGGTTTTTCGGGCTGTATGGCCATGTTCTAGAAGCATTCTCTCCTGACATTTCACCTGCATCTATGGCAGCCATCCTCAGAGATTGTGAGGTCTGAGGATGCTTGCCATAGATGCAGGCGAAACATCAGGAGAGAATGCTTCTAGAACATGGCCATACAGCCTGAAAAATCTACAACAACCCAGTGTTTCCAGACATGAAAGCCTTCGACAATACAGTCTTCAAAGCAACCCCAATTAGAGCGCATTGCAGTAATCTATACCAGATGTAACCAGATTGTGGACCACCATGACCAAGACTGACTTTCCAATGTACGGGAGCAACTGGCATACAAGTTTTAGTTGTGCGAAAGCTCCCCTGGCCACCACCAAAACCTGGGGTTCCAGGCTCAACTATGAATCCAGGAGAACTCCCAAGCTGCAAACCTGTACCATTTGCTATGTGTATTTTCCCCTCGTGCCTCTCTGTCCACAATATAGTCTATGGAATAGGCAGAGGATACCACTTGCATGTTGCTCTCTCTGGTGTTGTGTAGAAGATTAATTATGAAAGTCACAATGAATGTGTGGAAGGGAAGGAAATGGTCAGGAAATGGAATTCCTTCCTGCAATGACTTGTAAATCAAAAATGTTTCAGGAAATGGAAATATCATGATTCTTTATACTCATGCATAACTCTACACATTATAGTAAAAAATAAAATCTGTCCAAAAACCTGGGTTGATGTATCTACGGGCCAATGTGAATACAGTGTTCCCTTGCTACTTCGCAGTTCGCTTTCCGCAGAGTCGCTGTTTCACGGTGAAGGAGGAGGAGAAGGGCTTCTTTCCTTCCTTCTCCGTGCACGCACGTGGGAGGAGGGMGAAGAGAAGGAGGAGGGCTTGCTTCCTTTCTTTCCTTCCCCGCGTGAGCAGGGAAGGAGGAGGGGGAAGAGGAGGAGGAGGGCTTGCTTCCTTTCCTTCCTTCCCTGTGCAAGTGTGGAAGAAGGAGGGAGAAAAGGAGGAGGAGGGCTTGCTTCCTTTCCTTCTTTCCTCGTGCGAGCAGAGAGTAGGGGGGGGGGGAAGGAGCATCCCTACTTCATGGGTTTTCCCTTATCACGGGTGGTCCTGGAACATAATACCCGTGATAAGTGAGGAAACACTGTATTGTGATTCAACTCCTATGGAAAAGGGAACCATCCTCTTCTCTGAGAAGAGTGGTGAAAGACAAAAACATAGTCCTGAAAGAAGCAAACACCCCCTTTAATCTTTCCTCTGTGGGGCTTTGTAGTGAATCCACTATCAGTTAGGCTTAGAGAAGCCTAGGAAGAAGTAGGCCCAAGAGGTTTGGCAGCCATATTGGAAAGGGTGCCGGGGGAATACATTTTAGTCACTCATTTCCTGAAGGGGGCATGTTTAGTAAAAGCAGCTTTGGAGGGAAATGAGAGAGGAATGTGATTGGCTAAGTTAGAGTGGGCGGAGCCTAACTTGGCAAGAAAGAAAAAAATGTCTTTAAAGAGAGGTTTTTTAATTGCTGTCAGGAGATTGAACATGGGTGTCGAAGGGAGAGGGTGTTAGGAGTTTTGTGTATAGGGTTAGAGAGAAAGGCCTGAGATTGGTCAGAGTTGCTAGCAGGGACAGCTAGTGAGGAGTTCACAGCTATTAGGAAGATAGCTGGGAAACAGAGAGATAGATCCAAGATAGGACTATCTGTGCTGGTGTAGAATTACCGTCAGAGAAACTATCCTGTCAGTATTATTCTGGTGGAGGGAGAAAGAAGAGTTTCTTGTGTAGCTAAGTCAGAACTGTTTATGTAACCACACACTTTTAAGACAAATCTCTGAAACAGCCAAGCTTTGTACCTGAATTGTTCCTGTTCTTGTAAATAAACGTCATTGTTTATTTTTCATTACATCTGCCTCAAGTGTGCCTCTGTGCTTAAAGGTTCAAAAGCAGCTTTAAGCAGAAAACAAGAACTTAGTGGTGGCAGCGTTTGTTTTTAAAAAACTATCTTTAAAGGATACCTCAGAAACACAAGCCCGAGGGCTAAAACCATCACACTCTTTCACAAGATACCCCAAGTAAACCAAGGGCTTATCAGCACTTCTAAGTTGGTGGGTGCCAGTGCGCTTTCAAAAAGGGGTTTTCGGCCAGAAAAAAAGTCCTAGCTTTCTTTTACAGCTTTTTTGTTTTGGAGCTTGTAAATCTCAGAAGCAACATTCAAAACTATGCGGTATCTTGCTGTTTCTGGGATTATTTTTTTTATTTCCATCAAATAAATCCCCCTACTCGTTATAATTGGTGGCAGCGGTGGGATGACTGAATGAAGGGTACCCCCTGCCTGAAGATCATTTGAGAGTCTTTTTATTTAACTAATTAAATAATGATCTCTTTATAATTGGTGGAACAGCATTGGGATTTTATTTATCAAATAAATGCTAATTTCTTTATAGGCAGCTTCTGGCTTTTTTGAATTCCTAGGCAGATAAATGGCTGCCCTCCTGAGGGAGCTCTGTTGTTTTCCCCTTGACTTATCCATGGGTCATATAAAAATCCATAATTTTGGCCCTTGATGGATACATGACTATGTGGTAATTTGAAATAATACTGGAAACTGTCTGAAGCATCCTCCACAATGTTGTTTTGGTAGAACAAGACGGTGTTTACCCTCACTTTCCACCCCAGCAAAGCAGATGTTTACTGTCCCTCCAGCTTCTCCCTCTATCCCCATGGCCAACAGCTGTATTATCCCCACAATCACACCTCTCTCCCTAATATAAGGAGAGAGAATACAACCATTAATTTTCAATTAAAAGAGTAGAGTAGCGCAAGTCACCCTGATAGAGAGACTGGCATGACCTTAACAAATGTGGGGTGCTCTTTGCAATTACAGGAACCCTGGAAAATGTTGGAAGAGAAATAGAAACACGAGGAGGACAATTAGTTGTCGGAGCCTTTGAGGTGATTCCTCTTTCTGTGCAGAGTTTGGTAAGAGTCACCATGTCCCATTGATAGTTTTCTGGATCCAGGGCACAACACAGCAGACTTTGGCATATACACCTGGATTCCCTTTCTGCGCACACACGTATGTGCCCCAAGAAACCACACCTTCAAGCTCTCCGTTGCAGACAAGTGGACCCCCAGAGTCTCCCTAAAGAGAGAAAAGTTAGAATTCAGTGATTTGCAGATATGTCCATGTTAGATTGACATCCCTGCCTGGCAAGACCCAATCTGTAACTCTCCAATTGTGTTTGATGGAAAACCCCATCACTACAACCAACACAGCCAATGTTTATTGGCCAGGACAAGGATTGTAGTTCACTCCAACTGGAGTGCATCCCATTCATTGACCTGATTAATTCTGTTCAATACACAAAACTTGGAAAACTATTTTAAAAATTAGTTAGTAAAAGGTAAAGGTTTCCCCTGATATTAAATCTAGTCATGGGTGGTGCCATTTCTAAGCCAGAGAGCCAGCATAGTCCGTAGACTCCTCCAAGGTCATGTGGCCAGCATGACTGCATGGAGCGCCATTACCTCCCTGCCAAGGCGGTACCAATTGATCTACTCACTTTTGCAAGTTTTCGAACAGCTAAGTTGGCAGAAGTTGGGCCTAACAACAGGAGCTCACCCCACTCCCCGTATTCAAACTGCCAACCTTTTGGTCAGCAAGTTCAGCAGCTCAGCGGTTTAACCTGCTGTGCCAACAGGTGGGCCATTGTTACTATCACAGAAAAGTTCTCAGAAGGTAGGTAGTTGCCATCATATAGTTTTAAAAGGAATACTTATTTACTTTCCCATTTTAAAAATATGTTAAAATGGAAATTTTAAAAACACACAAAGCCGAATCCTGCTACCTACCTACTGGGTTGTGGTATTCTATTCCTCGTCATCATAAAATCACCCATAACTGTTCATAAACTGTTACTTTAAATATGATATTCTTCTTCTATCAATGATGGATATCACTTTCCCATAAGTTTAAAACTCACAAAAAGACATATTGCATTTTTCACATTAAAGTTACAATCATGACGTAATGTACCGTATATATTCGTGTACACGTCTAGTTTTTCAGCCCTTTTTTTAGGCTGAAAAGGCCCCTCTCAGATTATACTCGAGTCTTGATTATATATTATTTTACTCTGCTATTGTTATTTTTATTACATTTATTATTTTACCCTATCATTTTTGTTACATTATCATTTTATTCTATTTACTCTTCTTAATTATTATAATTACATGTATTAATTTACTTTATTATAATTGTTATTACATTTATTTACTCTGTTACTATTATTACATTTATTATTTTACTGTATTTATTATTGTTATTATTACATTTATTATTTATTCTATTTATTATTATCACATTTTTATTTTACTCTATTTATTATTATTTTATTACATTTATTATTTTACTTCATAATTATCATTATTATTACATTTATTTTATTCTATTGATTATTGTTATTATTGCATTTATTATTTTAAGGTCAAGGTCATGTGGTCGGCATAACTGCACTGTTACTTTCCCACCGGCAACTCTATTATTATTACATTTATTATTTTACTCTGTTATTGCTGTTATTACATTTCCATGATTTTATTCTCTTTATTATTATCGGAAGGATACGTAAGCACATTTACATTGAAGAATGTGCTGGTACAGCTGTACCAGAAACCTAAATCTCCTTTTTATGAATGGATAGTTTGCATGTGTTTCTGTTAATCATGCATTTTGCAGCTAGGCAGCTCCCCCCAGGCTGCAGCCATAGGGCTAGCAGCCTGCCTATCATCGTTAAGTTCTTTAGTTCCGCCCCTTTCCCCAGGGTTCCAGGAGGGAAAGGGAACCATTTTAGTTCAGTCTTTCAGTCTTACAGTTTGGAAGCTCAGTCACAGGATGTGAGATTTTTCTCACCTGTAGAGAAGCTTTGTTTCTTACAGCTCTGGCTGAGGAATTTACAGCCTCACAGCTCTACAAGCTATGGGGAAAAACAGTCCCAAAGCTTCTGGGGAAGACAGTTCTAAAGCCTCTGAAGAAAACAGTTTTACAGATCCAAAGGACTCCAACTGGAAATCTTTAAAGTTTTGGCTGGTAAGGTTTACTCGGGTACCCAAAAAGCAAATTGGAACCGTGAGTAAGGCCCCACGCCAGATAGCCTAAAAACAGTTCAGCCAGTTCCATTTGATAAATTGTATCCACATTTTCAATGTCAATAGAAAATGGATTATGGAAAGGTTGTATGTCCTGTTCATGGAAATGAAGCTCTTTAAATCTAAATTGGAACTCCTTTTGCAACTTTTCCAGTGAATTTTTTGTTTTGGAATGCAGCCAATGGTTTTTCCGCTAACAGATTTTGTGTTGTGGGAGGCAGCAGAAATTTTCCTCCTTCACTTATTGGATGAGGCCCAGCACATCTTGGGGAGATGGGGGACTCACCCTTCTCCACACCCGGCGGGCCAGACAGATGTCCTTGGCGGGCCGCATGTGGCCCACAGGCCATAGTTTGAGGACCCCTGCCTAAGAGCATTGAAAGGCTACACACTTTTCCATCCGGTCATAATTAAATCTCTCTCACCCTCCCTTCACGGATTACAGCTAAATCTCAAATGGCTATTCTCTTTCCCATACCTGGCAAGAGTCGGTGCCTCCTTGTGGTACTCCAGCACACACCATGTATGGCGTAACGGCCCCTTGATATGCTCTATTGCATTTCTGTTGAGGGACAATACTGACATTTGCACACTGCAGCTGTGCTGGAAGCTTTGCTGGAAGAGACATACAATACAAAAGTGTTAACGTTGGTTGAACAGAAGCAGCATTAGAAAGAGAAACAGTTTTTTTCTCGTGTCAGGAGCTCTTCTAAAGATCTAACAGCACTGATATTGGAAACTATCTGGTGCAGTTATAGCCACCGCCTGGTAAAATGGCTGGGAATTGTGTTCCTCAGAATTAGGTGCCTCGGCTTATATTCGGGTTCGCTTATACTCGAGTATATACAGTAGATCCTAATGTGAAGAAATAACCAGAACTAAATCTGAAGTAAAAAAAAATTGTGACCAATAGCAGAATGAAAACTGACTGGAATATTCACAGATGGAGCGCTCTACTCTTAAAGCATTATGTAATGTTTGTTGTTACCATTCAATTGTTTCCAACATGGTTTCAGAATGCAAGGAAGGTCACAAACCACAGAAAGGGGGTTTAGCGCAGCTGGTAAATCACAAGCAATGATAAGATCTACCAACTGAAAAGTTGCAAGTTCGAAGCCCCGGGTCAGTGTGAGCAGGCAACTGTCAGCCCTGCTCACTGTTTACCTAAGCAGTTTGAAAACAGCTTTAGCTGTAATTAGAGAAATAAGGTACCACTAAAAAAGTGGGGGTGTTGTTTTACAACGCCATAAAGAAAGATCAGAAAATGCTGGGTGACCACAAGGAAGAAGGAAGTCCTGGAGGCTCTTGGTCATAGAGGATGGAGCAACAGCACCCCCTGTGGCTGGACTCAACCTTCCATGTCATCAAAACAATATGCCTGCTATCTGTTCTGTCTGTGTACTGTCTATACAAAGCGGCATTGAATGTTTGCCGTGTATGTGTGCTGTGATCCACCCTGAGTCCCCTTCGGGGTGAGAAGGGCGGAATGCAAATAAATTATTATTGTTTGAAACACAACAAGATGAGTCCACAGCAGACACTCTGCTCACTATTGAATTGGATCACATGTCGGACACTTCCCAAGTGTCTAGGACTGTGTGATGTATCAGCAAATAATGCGTGCAGATCCCAGTAAGGTGGCCTTCTGCAGCTGGCAGATGGTAATTTTGTCAGCGCTGATTGTGTTTAAGTGCAGGCCAAGGTCTTTAGGCACTGCACCCAGTGTGCCAATCACCACTGGGACCACCTTTACTGGTTTGTGCCAGAGTCAGATTTGGGTTGGCTTATACTCAAGTATATACAGTAGATCCTAATGGGAAGAAATAACCAAAACTAAATTTGAAGTAAAAATCTGACTGGAATATTCACAGATGGAGCGCTCTACTCTTAAGGCATTATGAAGTTACCATTCAGTTGTTTCCAACATGGTTTCGGAATGCAAGGAAGGTCACAAACCACAGAAAGGGGGACTTGGGAGCCTGGAAATGCTGGCTAGGAGACTCTGAGAATTGTAGTTCAAGATGTAAACATTTCCAAGCTCTTCCAATAATCTAACAGCTCTGATATCAGGAACTATCTGGTGCAGTTATAGCTACCGCCTGGTAAAATGGCTAGGAATTGTGTTCTCTAGAAGCAGCTTTCCTATGCCTTAAGGTATTTTAAGAGGTTCTTTGTTCACCTTGAGGAGATCTAGTGGTGCCCCAGCCAGAGACAGTACATGGCCTCCCATCACTGGGGCAGCCGGATGGCAGCTGAATGGTCTTCACAGCATCATTCAATCTGGCACAAGGTTGAAGACGGAGCAGCATGTAATCCTTGTTGTTTTTCCTCCGGTCATACTCTGGGTGGACTCTGACTTCTGCAATATTCAAGCACTGTCCTGACCTTTCAGTCCTCTTCAAGTTGCTCTTTCCTAGGCATACCTTCATGCTATAGGAATAGAAGGCAAAAAGAAGGACAAAATAAGTAACAGGTAGAGAGACTTGGGGCCTCTAGTGGTGCAGCGGGTTAAAGCGCTGAGCTGCTGAACTTGCTGACCGAAAGGTCGCAGAATGCTAAGATAACACACCAAACAGCCCTTTTCCTTCATAAAGCAACGCAGTTGAGAAATGCGTATCTGGAGGAGATTGGGGTAAACTGTAGGGGTGACGCAGATATCTGAAGTGGGTGAGATTGTGTAATAGCTGGTCTATTTTAACCTTTGTTTTAACCTTCGTTTTTAATTTTTGTGGTTTGAAATTTTACCTTGGCATTTTAATGATTATATTTTTAATTATCTTTTAACTTAATCAAGTTTGAATGTATGTTAGTTCACTATTATGGGAGTCCTAGGATAGTAATTATTGTCTATTTGTGTACGTTTCTGTTTTTTTTTAAAAAAAATGTTGATACGGTCAGTGGACTAATCAATAAACTTTGCTTTGCCTAGCTTAGAAATGGAGATGAGCACCAACTGACACAACTGGACTTAATGTCAGGGGAAAACCTTTGCCTTTTTAGAGAGAATTGGGGAATTTGGGCTTCACCTAGATCTAATTGGGTTCTAGTATGTGACTGGAAATTAAGTATGCATCATGTCAGCTAAAATTGCACGAGAATGGCAGTTTGAAACTTCCAGGCTACATCACTGTGCAATTTTTTTTCTTTGCTGACATCGGTAAAAAAAAGAAAGAACTATGAATCTATAGGGCCTCTGCAAGGAGAAGATGGGGAGATGCTGACAGGAGATAGAGAAAAGGCAGAACTACTTAATGGTTTCTTTGCCTCAGTCTTCTCGCTACAGAAAGCCGTCCTCAACCTCAGCAACATGGAGTGGATGAAAGATTAGGGGAAATCCGACCCCAAATAGAGAAACAAATTGTCCAGGAATACTTGGCACTCTAAGCGAATTCAAGTCCCCAGGGCCTGATAAACTACATCCAAAAGTATTGAAGGAACTAGCAGAAGTCATTTCGGAAGCACTGACAACATCTTTGAGAGTTCTTGGAGAACGGGACAAGTCCCAGCAGATTGGAGGAGGGCAAATGTGGTCCCAATCTTCAAGAAGGGAAAAAAGGATGACCCATATAATTACCGTCCGGTCAGCCTCATGTTGCAAACACTTAGAAAGGAATGCGGTCATTGCTAATAGTCAACATGGATTTTTAATGCCAGACTAATCTGATCTCTTCTTTCAATAGAGTTACAAGCTGGGTAGATGCAGGGACATCGTGGATGTAGCTTATCTGGATTTCAGTAAGGCCTTCAACAAGGTTCCCCATAACCTCCTGGCAAACAAACTAGTCAAATATGGGTTAAGCAAACTATGGTTAGGTGGATCTGTAATTAGTTAAGTGAAGAAACCCAGAGGGTGCTCACTAATGCTTCCTTTTCACCCTGGAAAGAAGTGACGAGTGGAGTGCTGCAGGATTCCATACTATTCAACATCTTTATTAATGACTTAGATGAAGGGTTAGAAGGCATGATCATCACTTTTGCAGGTGACACCAAATTGGGAGAGATAGCCAATACTCCAGAAGACCGGAGCAGAATTCAAAACTATTTTAACAGATTAGAGAGATGGACCAAAACTAACAAAATGAAGTTCAACAGAGACAAATGCAAAATACTTAGGATGGGGGTTGTCTGACTCCACAGCAGTATGTGTGAAAATGATCTTGGAGTCCTCGTAGACAAGAAGGCGCACATGAGCCAACAATGTCACGTGGCAGCTAAAAAAGCCAATGGGATTGTGCAGGTACAGCTGTACCAGAAGCTCCCACTTATTTGCCTTGTAAAGGTAAAGGTAAAGGTAGTCCCCTGACATTAAGTCCAGTCATGTCTGACTCTGGGGTGTGGTGCTCATCTCCATTTCTATGCTGAAGAGCCAGTGTTGTCCGTAGACACCTCCAAGGTCATGTGGCCGGCATGACTGCATGGAGCGCCGTTACCTTCCCCCGGAGCGGTACCTATTGATCTACTCACATTTGCATGTTTTCGAACTGCTAGGTTGGCAGAAGCTAGGGCTGACAGCGGAAGCTCACGCCGCTCCCCGGAATAGAACCTGCGACCTTTCGATCAACAAGCTAAGCAGCTCAGTGCTTTAACCCACTGAGCCACCGGGGGCTCCTTATTTGCCTTGTATTAAGTGTTATTTGCAGCCCAAGGCTTGGGATTCTGCAGGAGGGTGGCTTCCTGTTAGTTTGCAGTTATAGGGCAGGCAACCTGACCATCATCATTAGGTTCCTTAGTTCCGCCCCCTTTTTGGGTTTCAGAAGAGAAGGGAGCCATTTTTAGTCAGTCACTCACAAGGAAGCTAGTCTATAGGACGCAGACAGCTTGTCCCGTAGGAAAGGCTTCATTCTTCAGAACCATCCGGGACAGAACTATCCGGGGAAACAGAAGGAAAAGATCCCAAAGGCTCTGGCTGAGAGCTCACAGCCTCTCAGCCTCACAGCACCAGAGGGGATAACAGCCCTGAAGTTGCCATTAGATAGCATTGTAGAACCACGGAATTCCAGCTGCAATATCTTCAAGCCTCAGCCGGTAAGGTCTGCCCAATACCCAGACGCATGTGGTTTTGGTAGTAGCACCCACGCCAACGAGGCATAGATAGAAAGCGGCCTGGGAGAGATTATAAAGAGTTCTTCCTCATGCAGAGAGAGTACAGTTAATCTAAGTCAGTGCCAGTCTCTAAGACTAGAATAGAAAAGCCTCGAAGTGTTGTTTGAAGATTTGTTCCTTAATAAAGACTTTGTGGTACCATTAAAGACTCTAAAGCCCATTACTTCAGGAGATCTCTAACAATCTCTCTTCGGGCACCCTGGCTTCCCATTGGGTTAAAAATATATGTCCTATAGAATAAAGACATTTTGTTCAGACCCAGCACCGCAATTGAAGGGAGATGTTGACAAGCTGGAATGGGTCCAGAGGGTGACTAAAATGATCACGGGTCTGGAGAACAAACCCTATGAGAAGCGGCTTAAAGAGCTGGGCATGTTTAACCTGCAGATGAGAAGGCTGAGAGGAGACATAATGAGGGCCATGTATAAATATGTGAGGGGAAGTCATAGAGAGAAGGAAGCAGGCTGGTTTTCTGCTGCTCTGGAGACTAGGATGTGGAATAATGTCTTCAAGCTACAAGAAAGGAGATTCCACCTGAACACTAGGAAGAACTTCCTAACTGTGAGAGCTGTTCAGAAGGAACTCTCTGCCTCAGAGTGTGGTGGATGCTCCTTCTTTGGAGGCTTTTAAACAGAAGCTGGGTGGCCATCTGTCGGGGGTACTTTGAATTGATTTTCCTGCTTCTCGGCAAGGGGTTGGACTGGATGGTCCACGAGGTGTCTTCCAACTCTATGATTCTAAGTTGTGGGAGATGGCTTGTTAATGGACTCTTCTTTCCCCTCCCCTGCACCTCCACCTGAGCAGTGCTCCCCTCAACTTACCCTTCCCTAGGTTTGCAGTGGGCTGCAGAGAGCACCCAACACGGATGTACTAAGCTCCCGCCACAATAAATGTTCCAGTTGCCTCTGCGCCCTGTAACAAGGGCAGCCTGGAAGGCCCTGGAGCGCTCTGGGCAGTTATATCCTCCAATGATCCGTTCTCCAGTCCCATCCTGTGCAAAGGCTGCAAAAACATGGAAGACAAAACAAAACATTCTTAATTACAAGGACTCTAAAGTAACTAACCACTATCACTTCTCTCAAAAACTCCCATGAAAGAAGACAAACAGAATCAGCAGCCAAATATGTGTGCTTCCTAATAGTACTGTTGTGTTTAGTATGGAAGACCACACAGAAGGTCCAATAATGCAGATACTTGTGGTGACCCACATTGACAAACCAGTTGTAAAGGTTTTCATTTTTGGCAGGAGCTATTTGTAAAGCTAATGAATCTTAGAGGTCATCCAGATCAGTGATCTACACAGATTTATATTGCACCATTCAATTTGCTTCTTGGTCTAAATATCTCAAAGGCACCAGATACTATGAGGGTTGAATGAAAAGTAATGCCTCCACCTTCGTTACTCCTCAACGCGACTTAAGCAACGTTTAGTCATTGAATTCTTGACAGCAGAAGGTGTCACCCCAAAGGAGATTCATCAGATACACACAGTATTCACATCAACACAATCACCATAAACAGATTGCATTCTCTGATGAATTTCTTTTGGGGTGACACCTTCTGTTATCAAGTATTCAATGACTGCACGTTGCTTAAGTTGCATTGACTGACTGTCTGAGCAGAGTTCCATACTTCGCACTTTAACAACCCAACTGTTCAATGCTCAGGCTTTCTGCCAAAATGGACCTGTAGAGGAGAGTCTACTGAACAAGCCAGTACCTGCCGCATACCAGTACTGCCATCTGTTGAGGAGTTACGAAGGTGGAGGCATTACTTTTCATTCAACCCTTGTATAAGTTAAACAGGGTTACTTGAATGGGAGACTGCCAATGAATACCAGGTGCTATAGGCTATATTGCTGAGGGAGGAACCAATAAAACCTCCTCTGAGTATCCTTTGCTTAAGAAACCCCTACTGAATTCATGTGGTCTTCATAAGGCAGTGGTTCTCAACCTGTAGGTCCCCAAGTGTTTTGGCCTAGAACTCCCAAAAATTCCAGCCAGTTTACTGGCTGTTAGGATTTCTGGGAGTTGAAGGCCAAAACATCTGGGAACCCACAGATGAGAACCACTGTCATAAGGCTACAGGCAAATTGAAGTCCCACACACAAGGTTACATCTTGTCACTTCTCTATCCAAACTTCTTTGAAACTCACCTAATTACTCAGACTCAATCAACTGCCACCCCAATGGTCATTCGTCAACCTTATCCAAATCTCTATTCACCCTCAATAAAACATTTTACACCAAATGTTCATGAAATCACAGAACTCAGTTAGTACAATTATTTAAGTAGAATTTGGAAAGTGTCTCTCCTAGAAAAAAATGAAAAGTAAATTAAAGAAAGAAGGATGAATGAATGTCTGGGTCTGTGAGAAGTAGAAAGTGTTCCTTTTGCAAATATGTTTGTAAGCAGGCGGCTTGGTGTAGAAATGTTGCTTTTGTGAACTCACTTGTATATCCTTGCTATTTTGCTTTGAATATAGTTTTTTAAACAACTGTATATTTTGCATATGAAGGAAGAAAGACGTATTATTTATGCAAGTTAAGACAGGGGTCCTCAAACTAAGGTCCGAGGGCCGGATGCGGCCCTCCAAGGTCATTTACGCAGCCCTCTCTCAGGGTCAACCAAAGTCTGAAACGACTTGAAAGCACACAACAACAACAATCCTATCCATCAGCTAAAAGCAGGTCTACACTTCCCATTGAAATACGAATAAGTTTATATTTGTTAAAATTGTTCTTCATTTTAATCGTTGTATTGTTTTTAAGTGTTTTTTGCACTACAAATAAGATATGTACAGTGTGCGTAGAAATTCATTCATGCTTTTTTCAAATTATAATCCAGCCTGCCAACAGTTTGAGGGACTGTGACCTTGCCCTCTGTTTAAAAAGTTTGAGGACCCCTGGGCTAAGGAGTTGCTCTGCAGGTGTTTAGGCAGCTGGGAAACCTATAAACCTCTGATTACCCAGCTAATGGGAAAAGGAGAGGAGAAGAACGGCAGTAAAAAGGGGATATAAACTTGTGCTGAACTTTGCTTGGTGTGTGGGCTTGCTTGCTTAGGGTACACTCATTCTTATAAGGACATATTGTAATCAATACACGCCTTGCTGCTTCACCAGTTTTGTCCAAGGTTCTTTTAGGGGTTCAAGGATCCACATTTAAAACAGGCTAGGATGGTGTCAAACTTGTGAGAGTGACCAGTGCTGGACACGGCAAATTGCATGTCTAGATGCAGCAGGTTTGCAAAAACTGTCCCCTGGAAACAGAGGATGCAGTGGGATCCACAAAGTTCATAATCCCACCTCCAGCAGTTAAATGCCCTCCGGTGGCACAATGGGTTAAACCCTTGTGCTGGCAGGACTGATGACCGACAGCTCAGTGGTTTGAATCCAGGGAGAGTGGGTTGAGCTCCCTCTGTCAGCTCCAGCTTCCCATGCGGGGACATGATAGAAGCCTCTCACAAGGATGGTAAAATAGCAAATATCCAGGTGTCTCCTGGGCAGCGTCCTTGCAGACGGCCAATTCTCTCACACCAGAAGCAACTTACAATTCCTCAAGTCGCTCCTGACATGAAAAAATCAGTTAAATGGATGTATTTATTTATCACTAGCCATCCCCTGCCATGTGTTGCTGTGTCCCAGTCTGTGTATATGTGTTTTGTGTGTGTATATATTTGTGTATATGTGTATATGTATGTTGGCATATATATGTGTGTGGTTTTGCACATGCATCAGTGTATTTTTTAATTTTTAGCTTTTTAAGTCCCTTCCATTGTGTTTTTCAGTGTTTTATGAGTGATGGTCACTCTTTGGCCAGATAGGTGTATTGTGCCCAAATTTGGTGTCAATTCACCTAATGGTTTTTGAGTTATGTTAATCCCACAAACATTACATTTTTATTTATATACCATAGATATCAGGAGCAAACCAAGGGTACAGTTGAAATGTGTTTTTTTTTTAAAAAAAACAAACCCAAAGTTTAAGAACTTGGCATTGTATTAAATGGATACAGCAGTGTCTGATGTGGATGGAGACTGGGAGGAAAGGGCAAGGGGACATCAGGTTTTTAGAATAGATGGGAAAACAGGAGCCTGGGAAGGATATGGAATAGGGGAGCCATACCTTGGGATCAGGTGCGTGATCAGGTTGACAGAAAAGGAAGAAAGGTTATTGGGTGATAGATCTAATTGGAAAGAAGTACATTGGAAAGAAAAAAAGATGGCGCAGTAACAATTGTGTGACTTAAAGCCATCTGGTATAGGAGCCATGTAACCTGACAGAAACACCCTTTGCACTGAGGTGTCTTGAGGGAGAAGGAAATGTGTGGCTTTCAGGACAAATTTGACTTCAGAATAAAATGGGTGAGAATGACAAGAGGGAAACTCATACCCACCCCAAAAACCCGGTCTTTCCCAGTTGGGTGTCTCTATGCCATCCAGGAAGGCCTGAGTCTAATTGGACATTTAATTAATCCGGGACAAAGCAGAGTTTACCTGCTTTGCCCCAAATTAATTCTCTTTTCCCAGAGATGTCATTTGGACCCCTCCGGTAAAAGCCCGACAGGCCTCACATTTTGGGGCCTATCTGGAAGTGCCGAGAGTCTAACAAAGGCAGGATACAGAGAACTTGAACTGGAACAGAGCCTTGTGTGGACTCAACCCTAGAGAATAGGACAAGAACCAACAGATTCAAATTAGAGTGAAAGATTCCACCTAAACATTAGGAAGACCTTCTTGACATTAAGTGCCAATCAACACTGGAAAAGAGTGCATTGGAGGCTTTAGGGGTCTTCTTTTTTGGAATTCTTTGAACAGAGTTTTGATGTCCAACTTTTAAGACTGCTTTTATTGTGTGTTTGTACATTGCAAGAAGTTGGTCCTTGTGTTTCCTCCCAACTCTATGATTCTATGACTTTATAGTCAGAAATTCCTGGGACTTTGACCCTGAGACCACCTTTCTCCAGAATGATTTTTCTTTACCTGCAGAGGCCATCACAAGCAATCCAAAGACCAAGAGCTTCATAGCTGCACCAACTGGATCAACAGGAGCCTATTAATCTTCCGGCTGCAGGGCAAAAGATTTGCAAGGTTCATGAATGGTTTGTGCAAGATCCTGATACTGGTCTGCAAACACATCCCAAGAAATGATACTGAACAGTGTTATTATCAGTAATTATTTATGTAAACAGTCCTCTGGCCATTATTATTCATGATACACGATCATTCATACTGATACTGCAGCAAACAGGGATTATTACTAACAAGATAAACACTTCCTTTTGGGTGAGGACATGTGTGAACTTCTTGGAGGTGGAGTGTAGGAAGTGCAGTTGCATTGGGAAGAGGAAATGTTTCTTTTTCCCTACCACTCATTTATATATTTTTTCTCATTATAATAATAACTAAGCAATAGAACTGAAAGAGATAAGCAATTATGCTAATTGAGGCAACTAGATTACACAGCTAAATAAAAAAGTATCTTGGTGCCTTGGTTTTTAGACCTGTTCCTAGGATTCTATGAGGCACTGATTCAGAAAATTGCATTGCATAGATTGCATCAGCTCTAGTTTTCTATATATGGTTATCATAATTTTCCGGTGAGCAGATGACATCTGGTATATGGCATATATTCCGTATCTCAAAAACTACAGCTGATGGGAGAAACTGGTGACTTTTTTGGATCAGCAGTTCATAAATAAAGGTAAAGGTAAAGATTTCTCCTGACATTAAGTCTAGTCATATCTGACTCTGGGGCGCCATTTCTAAGCTGAAGAGCCGGCATTGTCCATAGACACCTCCAAGGTCATGTGGCCAGCATGACTGCCTGGAGTGCCGTAACCTTCCCAAAGAAGGGGTACCTATTGATCTACTCACATTTGCATGTTTTGGAACTGCTAACTGCCACTTTGGCAGAAGCTGGGGCTAACAGCTGGAGCTCACTCCGCTCCCTGGATTCGAACCGCCAACCTAACAGTCAGCAAGTTCAGCAGCTTAGCAGTTAAACCCACTGCGCCACCAGGGGGCCCTCCATATATAACCTAACCAGAAACAGAGCAAACATTTGAGGCACCAAAATGTGTTGTGGGGCAGTGTTATTTCAATCAGTTAAGTAGAGTGTTTTAATGGTTAGCAGTTCAGAGATCCATTGAAGAGCAGGATATATATAAAAATTGATGTAATATATCAAATACATAAAACAAAAATTGTTTTGAAAACCAAATATATTGTATTTTGTTGTTGCTGTGTGCCAGCAAGTTGTTTCAGACTTATGATAACCCTAAGGGAATCTTATAACATATTGCCTATTCTTGGGAAGGTTTTTTCAGAGAGAATTTGGTTTTTCTTCCCTTGGAGGTTAAGAGAACGGGACTTGCCCGGGGACATGGAGTGGGTTTCCAGGGCCAAACAGGAATTTGAATCCTGTTCTCCAAAGCTGTAGTTCAGTGCTCAAGTTGCCATATCCCACTGATCAGTGGTTCTCAAACTGTTCTCTGGGAAGCCCTTGGGGCTCTGTGGGTGTTCCACCACCTCTAGGGTTTCTGCTGTTGTTGTTGTTACAAAGGCCCCCATTGGCACAATGGGTTAAACTCTTGTGTCGGCAGAACTAAAGACTGTTAGGTTGGAGGTTCGAATCTGGAGAGAGCACAGATGAGCTCCCTCTGTCAGCTCCAGCTCCCCATGCAGGGACATGAGAGAAGCCTCCCACAAGGATGCTAGAAACATCAAAACACCCGGGCGTCCCCTGGGCAACGTTCTTGCAGATGGCCAATTCTCTCACACCAGAAGCAACTTAGTTTCTCAAGTTGCTCCTGACACGAAAAATCTTTTTTTTACAAAGGTTGGATAGCCATCTGTTGGAGGAGATTTGATTATGTTTTTCCTGCATGGCAGAAGGGAGTAGGACTGGGAGTAGGACTGGATGGCTCCGAGGGTCTTTCACTGAAATACTATTAAGTTTATATTGGTTAAAATTGCTCTTCATTTTAAATATTGCCATATATAGAAAGAGAGAGAGAGTGCGCACTGTGTGAATTCATTCAGATAAACACTCTCCATCTATCTGCCACTGGTCCAGCCTATGCCGGATATATATACGTTATATATAATATATAAACATTTCTTGGGACTCCACAAGAAACTTTTGCTTCCAAAAGGGCTCCACGGCAGAAAAAGTTTGAGAACCTCTACTCTCGACGGGCATTGATATGGCGCAAAATGATCACAGTTTTCAAAGCCCTGCATACCTATTGGAAGACAAAGGGTTCAATCCAACATTATGCAAGCATGGATATGCCAGTATTTTCTACTCTGCCTCCCTTGGCTCTAACCCATTCCAGAAGGTCCCTTGTCATGAAAGGTGGAGAGGAACAATTGTCCTTCTGCATGAATGGGAAAGACTTGACTGGATGTCACCCAAAGTGCCCATCTATACTGCCAATTAATGCAGTTTGAATCTGCATTATATGGCTAGTATAGACTCATATAAGGCAGTTCAATATAGTTACACTGTATTATATGAATCTACACCAGTGGTTCTCAACCTGGGGGTCGTGACCCCCAAAGGGGTCGTTGGGCCATTTTCGGGGGGTCGCAAAGCCACCTTGGTTGGCCAAGCCCCCTCTAAAACGGCTGCCAGAGGGCTTCCTCCACATGGCCTTGCAGCTTGGGAAGAGTTTTTTGCCTGGCCCCCGTGCCCTTCCGACTTCGGAAGGGCACGGGGGCCAGACGGAGGGCTTCCCCCACACGGCCTTGCGGCTTGGGAAGCCTTTTCTGCCCTGCCCCCGCACACTTCCGAGCTCAGAACTACAACTCCCAGAAAGAAAGGTCAGCTCACCCCACAGCTCTCCAGTAAGGCAGTATCGGCATATCAGGTATGTGTGCCAATTTGGTCCAGATCGTTTGTTGTCTCCAGTATTTTCTGTTGGTGTTGGGAGTTTTATATGCCAAGTTTGGTTCAATTTCCATTTTTGCTGGAGTTCAGAATGCTCTTTGATGGTAGGGGAGCTATACATCCCAGTAGCTCCCAACTGCCAAGGTCTATTTTCCCCAAACCTCTCCAGTATTTTCTGTTGGTAATGGGAATTCAAGTTTGGTTCAATTCCATTGCTGTTGAAGTTCAGAATGTTCTTTGATGGCAGGGTACTATTCATCCCAGCAACTGCAACTCCCAAATGTCAAGATCTGTTTCCCCCAAACTCCACCAGTGTTCAAATTTGGGCATATTGAGTATTTGTGCCAAGTTTGGTCCAAATGCACAGATTTGGGTTCACAGTGCTCTCCGTATGGAGGTGAACTACATCTTCCGTAAATCACTGTCAATTCCTCCCAGCTCCCTCCAGTATTTTCTGTTGGTCATTGGGGTTCTGTGTGCCAAGTTTGTTCCAGGTCTCTAATTTGTGGGTGTCTCAGTGGTATGTGGAAGTCAGCTGAATCAGTTGAAGGTACTGCAAATCCCATCATCCACTGTCCATACTCCCCAAACATTGTTTTTGTGATCAATCACTATGCTTTAATTATGTTTAATCTGTAATAATGAAAATGCATCATGCATATCAGATATTTCCATTATGCTTCATAAGAGTAGCAAAATTACCATTATGAAGTAACAACGAAAATGTGATTGGGGTCACCACAACATGAGGAACTTTATTTAGGGGTCACGGCATTAGAAAGGTTGAGAATTACTGATCTACACTGACCATATACTGCAGTTTTGAACTGCATTATATGGCAGTGTATATGGGACCGAAGAGAAGAAAAAATAATGCAGGTTTTTAAAAAACCCAGTATTTGAGAAAATGCAAGCTTAATTCTGCATTACTATGTTGAATTAATAACACAAACAATTAGTTCATGTTTATAGAATTAGAAACTAAAATTGGAAGCTCCAATTATGATGCATATCAAGGTGATGTTAATGAAAATATGAAAATTCAGCTACATCACGCTTCTGAATATACAGCTTTTATAAAACAGACATGAAAGCATTTTCGCCTGTAGCTAACATCTACTACCTACTACTTTCTTCACAAGTCCAATGTAATGAGGACAGTCTTCTTATTAGAGAATTATGATAGCATAAGTTATAACTTAACATTATTGCAACCCACATTTTTTGTTCATCGTCTAGGTCCCTTAGTAGTACATAGTTATGTATTACTTTATTGTCCCTTAGTAGTACATAGTACATACATATTTAGGAAAATATGGTTAGGAAAAGTCTGAGGCAATGTGGTAAAGTGGTCTATTGGCGTTCTATATCTTGTTGAACTACAATTCCCATTAGCCATGAAGATTAGTTATAGTTGAATAGCATCCAATGGACCATAGAAAAGCATTTTGGGTCCCCTATTGGGAGAATAATAACAACAACAAATTTGAGTTGCTGTGAGTATTCCAGGCTGTATGGCCATGTTCCAGAAGCATTCTCTACTGACGTTTCTCCCACATCTATGGCAGGCATCCTCAGAGGTGGTGAGGCCTGTTGGGAACTAGGAAAGTGAGGTTTATATACCTGTGGAATGTCCAGGGTCGGAGAAAGAACGCTTGTCTGCTTGAGGAAGGTGTGAATGTTGCAATTGGACACCTTGATTAGCATTTAATGGCTTTGCAGGTTCAAAGCCTGACTGGTTGCTGCCTGGGGGTCCTTTGTTGGGAGGTGTTAGCTAGCCCTGATTGATTCTTGTCTGGAATCCCCCGGTTTCTTTTTTAATGTTCCTCTTTATTTATTATTTATTTATTTATATAAATTTTATTTCTCACCACCTTCTTCATGGCTCAAGGCAGGGTACAACATAGTTAAAATACATAGATGAAAACATAAGGCCATTAAAACACATAGATTAAAATATATGGGCATAAGCAACAGTCACACTTGCCTCAAACAGGCAAGAGTTCTTTCTCCCATCTTGGACATTCTACAGATATATTAAACCTCACTTGCCTAATTTCCAACAGACTTCAGAACCTCTGTGGATGCCTGCCACAGATGTGGGGAAACGTCAGAAGAGAATGCTTCTGGAACATGGCCATACAGCCCAGAAAACACACCGCAACCCAGTGATTCCAGCCATGAAAGCCTTCGACACCACAATAGCAACATATTGTTTTAAAAAATCAAAACCAGAATAAAACCAATCATAGTTTCTGACCTCCTCCCTGTTAAAATTCTAAATAGAAGATTACAAGTAGATTTGTCTATTGATTCTCGCGCTCACCTGCAGTTCTTGATGAAGCACCAGATGAAGGATGCCTCTCAAATGTCCAAAGAAGAGCAGATGAATAAATAGTGATGTTAAGATTTAAATGCGCATAGAGTAGGATGGCCCTGACCAATTCGGTCTGTGATGCATCACAGCTTTGGAGCCTTTGCAATGAGTCAATGCAGGACCTGTCTATCTTCTCATGTCAGCATCCCAAAAAAATCCACATTAAGTGTTGAGTAGGTTGGTTCCACCCTCCACCTCTTCACATTGTTGTTTCTCTTGCAGCTTTGCCAAGGGACATTTAGGCACAAGGTTAATTCTGGGGCATCGTGGAGACTATATAATGCATTCTCAAAGAGTAATAAAGGGTGAGAATGAGAGGGAGAGAGGGAGCAATAAAGAACCCCACTACTATAGTTGTCTGCTTGGAAAGAATGAGAGTTATAAAGGAAGAGGAGAAATTGGAACGTATTCATTTGAGCTCACTGAAAGATTAATGCGAGGGAAACCTGAAGTGCAGGCTCTCTGTCTCCAAAAGAAAATCTAAGTGTCTTGGGTGTCTATCAAAAGGAGAAACACCACCCAACTTTCTTGTAAGTTTCTGCCTTGTTTATTCATTTACTATTGTGGACAACAAGTTAAACATGAGCCAACAATATCATGTGGTGGCTAAAAAAGCCAATGGGATTTTGACCTGCATCAATAGGAGTCTTGTGTCTAGATCCAGGGAAGTCATGAGACCCCTCTATTCTGCCTTGGTTAGACCACACCTGGAGTATTGTGTCCAATTCTGGACACCACAACTGAAGAGAGATATTGACAAGCTGGAATGTGTCTAGAGGAGGAGGACTAAAATGATCAAGGGTCTGGAGAACAAGTGGCTTAAAGAGCTGGCATGTTTAGCCTGAAGAAGAGAAGGCTGAGAGTGATAGGGCAATAATCATGAAACTAGAGAAATCAAAGGTAAAAATGTACTCCCCCTGTATTTAGAAATGAGCTTACACTAAGGGTCCATCTTGTCTAGAATAATTGTGGATAGCACCTAAGAAACATGTGCAATAAACAACTTTCACAAGACAGTTCAGGCAGAAGGCTAAAAGGCTGACAAAGTGTCTATTGCAATATATGGAGGAAAGAGCTATTTGGGTCTTGTACTTTCCATTGTCAAGAAATCACGTGATTTGCAAGAAGTCAGTTAGTTAATGTGCCAAATAAGTAATTAAGCCTATGTGGTAGTTTGTAATTGGATAATGTTTGCTGCAGTATCAAAGGGTCTTGTCTATATAATGTGTGTCTGAAGAGACACTGGGCATGGCAGCCTCTTGAAAGTACAAAGACCTGCATGTTTGGTATGGCTGGCCCGTCTCATGATCATGACAAAATAAACCTTGCTTTTGTACTTCTCCTGAGATTGGGTGTTTGTCTTTCTACCTCCTGCGACCGGATCCAATGCAGGGACCCTGAATTGGGGGTCCCTAACAAGAGGAGACATGATAGCCATGTATAAATATGTGAGAGGAAGTCATAGGGAGGAGGGAGCAAGCTTGTTTTCTACTGCCCTGGACTATGGTGCAGAGCAGTGGCTTCAAACTACAGGAAAGGAGATTCCACTTGAACATTAGGAAGAACTTCCTGACTGTGAGAGCTGTTCAGCTGTGGAACACCCTGCCCCAAAGTGTGGTGGAAGCTCCTTCTTTGGATGCTTTGAAACAGAGGCTGGATGGCCATCTGTCAGGGGTGCTTTGAATGCAGTTTTCCGGGTTCTTGGCAGGGGAGTGGACTGGATGGCCCATGAGGTCTCTTCCAACTCTTTGATTCTATTGGATTTGTATCCTACCTTTCTCCCCACAAACAGTGTTGCTTCCATTTCCTTCCATAACTCAGAGCATAGGCATCTAGAACAGCAGCAATGTTGTCAGCTCTTGAATCCTCTCTCCACTGCCTATTCAACAACAGTTCAAACAGTATCAATGAGCAGGTATCCATACTGCAAGAAGCTTCAGAAGCTAAGCATCTTTTAAATTAAAGATTGAACTGTCCAAAATCTCGGGGTCCATCCCAGCATGCCAGCTCCAGTGTCTCCCAATCAAGATGAATCATAGAATCATAGAGTTGGAAGAGACTTTGTGGGCCATCAGTCCAACCTCCTGCCAAGAAGCAGGAAAATCGCATTCAAAGCGTCCCCGACAGATGGCCATCCAGCCTCTGTTTAAAAGCCTCCAAAGAAGGAGCCTCCACCACACTCCGGGGCAGAGAGTTCCACCACTGAACAGCTCTCACAGTCAGGAAGATCTTCCTAATGTTCTTCCTAATGAAGGCAGAATCAGAGGTTTATTTCTTTGTTAATAATAATTTATTTATTTGACCAGTCATGTGACCATTTCAAAATACAACATGAATAAAAGACAAGGCAAAAAGGAGAGGACAGCAGCTGACCTTCTATTTATAGTCAGAGTCTTATTTTCCTGGTTCTTCTTTCACAAAATCTGCTCTTTTCTTGATAGCTTTCAGAATAAAAAGGCTTACTCTGATTATGGTGGATCTTTCTTGTCCTTGCAAGAGGAATGTCAGAAGATCATTTCTGTTGGGGGACCTGCAGTTGGATAATATTGGATGTAAATATCAGTATATGCTGGACAGTCAATTAAGAAGTGTTCGATATCTTCCATTTCTTTGTTGATCAACGAAGGATATCAGGGAAGAACTTCCCAGATCTGACATGCCCTCTGATTATAGATATCAGTATTTTATAGACATTTGAGAATAATAAACATTGTTCTGATTGGTGAAAATTGCAATTGCAATCCACTTTCTTAGGGACTTGCTTCAAAGGACTTTCATTATCATGTTTTACAGCTTGTGATTGGCAGAGTGTGTATTGTGGGGACTTTAATAAAGTTTTCATTGGAGGAAAACCTGACTTTGGTCTGCTGTCTCTGAGGCCCCTTTTACACTGCCATATAAAATCCGGAGTATTTGCTTTGAACTTTATTATATAAGTCCCCCATGGCGCAATGGGTTAAACCCTTGTGCTAGTAGGATTGAAGACCAACAGGTTAGAGGTTCGAATCTGGGAAGAGCACAGATGAGCTGCCTCTGTTAGCTCCAGCTCCCCATGTGGGGACATGAGAGAAACCTCCCACAAGGATGGTAAAACATCAAAACATCCGGGCGTTCCCTGAGCAACGTCCTTGCAGACAGCCAATTCTCTCACACCAGAAGCGACTTGCAGTTTCTCAAGTTGCTCCTGACACGAAAAAAAACCCTGTATTATATGGCAGTGTAGACTCAGATAATCCAGTTCAAAGCAGATAATGTGGATTATTTGCTTTGAAATTCTGGATTATATGGCAGTGTAGAAGGGGCCTGAGTCTGCTCTCATTAGCCTGGAGGGAATGTGTGAGTAAATACTTTAGGGACAATGGAAGCATTGATTACTATCATGCTTGAATAGCCCTGAGATGGAGCCCCCTTGTGCCAAGAGGACTGCTGACCGATAGGTCAGAGGTTCAAATACGGGGGGAGCGGGTTGAGCTCCCTCTGTCAGCTTTAGCTTCTCATTCAGGGACATGCGAGAAGCCTCCCACAAGGATGGTAAAACATCAAACATCCGCACGTCCCCTGGGTAACGTCCTTGCAGTCGGCCAATTCTCTCACTCCAGAAGCGACTTGCAGTTTCTCAAGTTGCTCCTGACATGAAAAAAAATTCCTGAGGTGGTGGAATTTCTTAGTACACTGGTTCCCAACCTTTGGTCCTCAAAGTGCTTTGGACTTCAGCTCCCATAATTCCTAATTTGGCTGAGAGTTCTGGAAGTTGAAGTCCAAAACAACTGAAGGACCAAAGGCTGGGAACCACTGTCCTAGAACAATGGAGAACAGGGCTGCATTGTTGGGCTTTGGGATCATTCTGGATGAGATATATTATGAGAGCTGTTATTGACATTCTTGATCTATTGTTCAGCCCAGTGGCTTGGCTAATGAAGACGTTCTGGTGACTTGTGCCCATTGTGTGTTGGTGAGAAGGAGGAAAAGCAGCCAAGACTTCTCCGTATAGGTTTCCTGCTTCTAAAGTCAAATGGAGCATTGGAAGGTTTGGGAGCTCCAACTTTTAGGGTCTGAGTTTTCACACAACCACGTCCCTGTGGACATCTGGGTAGTATTGTGCTCTAGCTCCCTCCAGCCACAATCAGTAGAGAACTATAGATAATGTCCACCAATGATAGAAACTTCAGGAGAGAATACTTAGTTGAGGAAGTCCCATTCACTGAATCTAGCAGGACTTTTTCTGCTCCAGAGTGCCCACTATCTTGCCTGTCTAGTGGAGCTGTCCTTTCCTTCTAAGACATCTGTAGAATGTATTGTCATAACCATGAAAATGAAAATTTGGCTACCAGTATTAAAAAAAACTCTAGAATTATAAAAGCAAATAAAGAACAACACTCAAACACAAGGGAACTCCAGACAAAAAACAATCAGGGACAGCTAATCACTCCTCAACAAAGGATTCCTCCAGGCAATAACAAGCCACACCTAAAAACCATGAAAATGAACAAAATCTGGCTACCAGTATTAAAAAAACTCTAAAATTATAAAAGCAAATATAGAACAACACTCAAACACAGGAGAAGAAACAATCAGGGTCAGCTAATCACCTCTCAACAAAGGATTCCCCCAGGCAGTAACAAGCCACACTTAAAAACCGTTAGGTCATCAAATGCTAATCAAGGTGGCCAATTGAAACATTCACACCTAGCTCCAACAGACAAGAGTTCTTTCTCCCACCCTGGAATTTCCACAGATATATAAACCCAATTTTCCTAGTTTCCAACAGACCTTACAACCTCTGAGGATGCCTGCCATAGATGCAGGCAAAATGTCAGGAGAGAATGCTTCTAGAACATGGCCATATATCCCAAAAAACCTACAACAACCCATCTGTAGAATGGGTTGTAGGGAGAACACTTGATCACATATCATACCCACAAGATTAATTTATTTACTAGCTGTACCCACCACGTGTTGCTGTGGCCAACCTTCCCTCCCTTTTTCTCTCCTCCTTTCTTTCTCTCCTTCCTTCCTTCCTTCCCTTTTTTCCTTTCATTCTCTCCTTCCTTCTCTTCCTCTCCCCTTCCCCCCTTTCTTTCCCTTTCTCTTTCTCCCCTTTCTTCCTTCTCTTCCTATTCTTGGACTGCAACTCCCA